CCATTTCTTGGTGTATATTTAAATTGTGTTCTTAAATAGTGAACATCATGTGGTCAGTCATTTATTATGCACTTTTTGTGATAACCATTAAGTATCTCAGCAGTAGTTCATGTGCATGCTACAAGTCTGTACAGAGACAATCCACCCTGTTTTAGAAAGGCAGCCTCAGTGTTCAGTATAGATAAAATGAAGTGCACTCTGTAAGAAATTAAAGGTGCTAATTAATGTAAAGGTTATTGCATGAACATTGTGTCACTCAGAGCTGTAGATATTTTTCATTTAGAGTATTTTTCTCTTGTGACTAAAGAGTGTAGGTCTGATCTTGTTTTTATTTTCTCTACTTGAGCAGACAAATCTATTGCTCATAAAGTCTGACAAACTGAGATGGGAATGACTTACTCTCTCCTGAGCTCCATGAACATCATCATAAATGGCATCATATTTTTTAATATCTATATAACCTTTTCTGTATGCAGTACAGCTTCTTCCAATTCAGGTAGTGCCACCGCAGTTTTATTAAAACAGAACTCCTGGGGAATAGTTGAGGAAGACAGAAGTTTCATGTCAGGCAAGCATGCAAGATTCCATCCCTGTAAGAAATGAAAGGGCTTGAAAGGAACTTTCTGAGACTGTGGGAATGAGAGCCCTGAGATCTCAGCTCTGCTTCCAGTGTTGGCCAAGCAAAAGGGGGTTGTTTTTGTTTATTCTTCTATTGGCTCTGGGAATATTTTATCTCTCCCTGCACAGTCACCAGGCTCTGGTAGGCAGAATTAAAAACAGGAGGTGAGGGTTTGAACCCAAACAAGCTGAAGAAAGCAACCCCTTGCATTCTAATAAGCAAAACTGGAGAATCACTTCTTCTTCCCGATATGTTTCTGAAGATTACAACTGAATTCAGTGGAGTCTGAGAAAGTGTGTGAGATGTGTTTGTGGGACCAGTCCTCCCAGAGCCACACTGCCTTTACATGCCTGTCTCGGAATCTCACAGCAAAGATTAAGCAATTCACACATGTGAATGCCAACACCACAGTGGCTGCTTGGGTTTAGACCTCACATAGGAACGTTTGGTGCAAAAGAGAGACAGGAAGTTATTTTAAGACTACATCATGCTGGAAAACTGGTATTCAAAATCACTCTGAGATCCAGAAATTATTTATGTTGCCTTCAACCAGTTGCCTCCAATCACTCAACTGAATTCCATCTTAATTCCCTCTTCCCGGGTTTTGTAAACAGCCTCTTTTCAGCCCTAAAACTTGTTCAGTGAACAGCCAGCCATAGCCTTACATGTGCTTCTTTTCTCTCTAATAATTTTCTTCCCCTTCAAATAGATAACCTCATTTTCTTCCAAGAGACTCTATAAAGGGTTTTTTTATTTGTTTCATTCCGGTCTACACTATTCAGAAGGGTTTGGCATTCACCAGTAGATAAACAGAGGAGTTTATTATTGTTTACTTCCAAAACTGATTGAATATGAATTCTTTATAATTACCTTTCAAAAGCTTGTTTATCATACTCTTACAGTTTTCAGTAGGTAGTCTCATCTTCCCCTATTTCCCATAATTCACATTTTTCTGACCTACGCTTTTCTTCAACAACCGTGAGGTACCCTCTTAAAATTCCAGAATCAAGGAGAGTAAATCCATAGAGGACACTTACTGTCCAAAAAAACCCATAAATTACTCCTCTGCCATTCAATTGTCTGAGGATGATTTTGCCTGTACACCCACACACTCCTTTGAGCCCCTGCACAGGATTGTTTAGGTGTTTTCATTAGAGCATAACTAGAACTAGAGTACACTGTTTAGAGGAAACATTTAAGTGGCATCAAAGGTAAAAATATGACCATAATAAAGAAAATGCAGTTTCTCTGGAATGGTATTACCACTTGGTTTCTATGTGTATAATAGGAGTGACCCTGGATAACCTTAAAATGTAGTAACGGTAAACACAATGTCCAGAAAGTTACATGTCAGCATTTCCCACATTATCTGCAATTTGAGGCAATACCTGGATGAGGAAAGCAATGTGTCAGCCCGGTTGTACTCTGCTGCCTTGGGGTGAGAACTCTGTTACCTGCCACCTTCAGACCACAGTTTCCAGTGTATTAAGGCTGTCATGAATGCAGCTTCTTTTGAAATTCTGAAAATGGTGATTTTTTTGTTAATTAATTGAATTGATTATTTAACTATTGCAATTAATAAGCTCTAACATTCTATATAATTATAAAATTATTAGTACATCGATTGTTTAAATATTAAAAATACCTCTGCCTTAGACATGTCTTCTAAAGTGCACTGGCATGTTTGGCAAGTGAGTGACATTTGTCAGTGGTAAGCAGCAAGTCTTGTCTTTCTCAATGTCATGGGTTTAATATGTGCTCATAGTGAAAAAATGCTACTTTTCAAGTCCAGGCATTTTCTAAAAATAGCCTTCCAACTGCAAACAGGTGTAGTCCTGCCCACATTTATATGCCAGGTAGCCTAAAATGTCAATGGAGTGTTGAATAGTTTATGAAAGACATTCACTACCTCCATTCATCTCAGTGGCCCTCTGAATCCTGCCAAATTCCCAGTGTCCTTGCTTCACTGCTTCAAAAGCAGCTGAGGCAGGGGAGCATGTGGCAATGTGTCTGTCCTCTCAGCTGACAGCAAACAGGTACACGTTAAAATGCAGGCTCAAATTGATGACCTCTTAAGCAGGTTACAAGCTCAGACTGACCTGTCTATAAATAATTTAGAGGGTATAATTTAATCTGTGCAGTGGATTCAGTGTGTATCCCCTGCATTCAGTGAGACCACATATATCTTATTACTCAGTGTATTTAGATGCCACTGAATGAAGTCCTCAAATTTTTCATCATGGAATATAGGAGAGCACCTTTGTTTAGGTAAAAGAATTAGGCAAAAATTTTATTCCAACAGTGTACTGAAAAGTAATCGTAGAGTACTTAAAATTAATCAGGTGCTGAAGTTTCCTAGAGTCATGGGACATTCTGCTAGGAAGCATTCCCTGACTCATTTATAAGAGGACCTGGAATTAATCTACCTGGGGACTTAATGAGCACTGACCTACAATTCACAAGAGGCTCCTCCACACCAGCTCCCTTTGTGGACACTTTTGACATGCAGTTCATGTAAGGTAGTTTACAGCTTTTGTGTATTTGTAACCTTCCTTGTTCAAAATAGCTTCCCTTCGTAAACAAACATTTCATTTTATCACCAAATAATAATTATTTTTAAATAAATAATCTTCTTGATCTTGCAGAAGACTTCCTTCACTGCAAATGCTGAATGTGCTTGGGCTCCTAATGAGGAAGAGGAAATAGATTGCATGGCTATAGCATTTGGATTAGTTGAGATCATTGGGCCAGAAATATTTTAAATTCTCATAAAGTCCCAGAAGTGAAGCACTTAGGCTGGAAAACAATAAGCAAAACCACAAGTGTAGGGAGGAAAAGGAAAGAACTTCCAAGTATGTAGAGTATGGAGTGGCAGATTATTAAATTATCCTGTTAATTAGCAATACCTTTAGACATAGATGCATTTAAAAAAATATGAACTTGCTTTGTTGGTATCTTTGGTACAGAACTCACTGGTGCATAACAGTGAGCTCCAAAAGTGCTTTTCCAGATTTATGTGGAAAAGTGCATATGAGAAAAAGTATTTCTTATTGAATGCAGTGTTTTAATACCATGTATCTTAATACCTTTTCTTTCCATTATTTTGTCAAAACTTCTTGGTTTAATCCAAAGGGGCAAAATTTTTCAGTGTGTTAGAGAAGGGACCATGTTATTTTGCTTGTATTCTCTGTTCTGCTTACTACTAAGTGGCCTGATCTCAATCCCACTGAAATCAGTGAGATCTCCAATGCTGAAAGGAATCAGAACAGGATCACGCCTGCCATCAGTTTCCATTAGGTGCAGATTTATCTCTGTGGTAAGCAGGAATAGGGTGCCTTAAGTACTCCCAGTTATTAGCACCATCTAATTCTAGTGGAGAGCACAGTTTTCATAAATTGTGGTATGCTTTGCCTGCTGTTGTCTCCTGCCTAATAAGTCCCTCTGTTGGCAGGATTATTGCTGATGTGATAGACTCCTGAAATTGTACATCTTAATTTTAGATTTTATGAACATGTCATTGAAACCATCTGGTTTTACTTGCCATTTGGGTAGAACTAATGGAAAAATTAGTCCCTGATGACCCTCAAGAGGTTATTTTCATATTGCCCCTTCTTATCCTGTAGCCCCAGTATTCATTCTGAATTATGAAGTGGACTTTCATAGCCGAACTTCTTTTTAAATAAAAGACCTGTATCTTCATATTGAAGCAGAAGCACATCATTCTAGGCTAAAAGAAGTGATCTCCTCCTTGGCTTGTTACATATAGGATCACCTGGGAGAAAATACAAAATGGATACAAAAATTCTCAAAATCAACTGCAAAAAAACCCCAGTGTTTGTAAGCATTTCTACTGATACAATTATGATTTAAAATTAGGAAATAAAAGCATTTTATTTGAGCAGCCTTTCTCAAAAATGTTTCACTTTACTTTTTTCAGGAGTCACTGATGTGATGCCTCCACATTTTTTTTCCAGCTTAATCTATCAGGTCAAATGATGAACATGCATAGACAGTAGAAGAAGCTGTCCTCTGCCTCCCTTCAAAGTATGAAGGAGCTGTGCACCTGAGTTATGAACATTGTCCAGATCAGGGGCTGGAATAGCTTTTATTGCCCCCATACAAAAATGATACGATTGCTAAGACCAAGGCAAGAGGAAGCTTGGGAAATGTGTCCCATTCTCACCCCGCACAAACCAGTTCCACTACAGGCCACAGGTGCAAGAGGCAGACTATATTTTCTTTATTTTATCTTTCTCGGTCTTTAACTGGCAGCAACAGAGTACTGTCATTTCAACCAGGAAAGCAGAATGTCAGTTTTTATGATTGATTAATAATCGTGCGGCTTGAACACCATTGTGCTTAGTTACACTGTCTTTTCTAGGTAACATTTCGGACAAGAATCTACCACTGTAACATCAACAGCCAAGGCGTCATCTGCCTGGACATTTTAAAAGACAACTGGAGTCCAGCATTAACTATTTCTAAAGTTCTCCTCTCCATCTGCTCCCTCCTCACAGACTGCAACCCGGGTAAGGCGAATTAACTTTTATATTCACATTCATTCATAGCTCATATTTGGTCAGCTACGAGGTCAGTGCTCTGGTTTACTGGTGCCTACTGACAAAAGGCAAAAATGTAAATTTTAAATGACATTCATATAAATAAGATGTAGTATAAAAAGAAAGCAGGATTTCAGGAGCATTCTTAGTACCAAAGACTAAAATCTTGTAATTCAGAAGCTTTAATCAGTAGAAAATACCTTAGTTAGCACTGATTTGGATATTACAACCAGGATATTACTACCGAGAAATATTAATGAGTTAATAAATATTGAAAAGGAAAGCTTTCATTTAAATACGCTGATAATATGCTATCTGAAAAGAATATTAATAGTACTGACAATGATAGATGCCTAACACAGACTCTACAAATAATGAAAATTAGTTTAAATAAGGTTTATTCAATATCTTGGGCAGTCAGTATGAGTATTCAAAGCTAGCTGTCATTCTTATTAACTAGCATAGCACTTAACCTCTCCCCTCAGCTCTTTTAGATTTGTTTTTTGCCATTGACCACTAGATCTGTAATTTCCACTTTCCCTTTCCTATTTACCAATGAATAATTCTGAGGGTAGCTTTGGAAAATTGTAATATATAGAAATTATTAAAGAATCATTGAAGGAAAATTAAGTGATCTGTTTATATGTCATGAGGGTTGTTACTGGTTTGATTTTTACTGTGCACTTCAATATTCTTTTTAATTTGCCCAAAGGGCTAAAAGTTGCTTTGCAAAGGGCTAAGAATTGCTTTGCAAAGGGCAGAATGTGAGTCTGGTGTAACCAGGGGCTGAATTTAAAGCTCTTTATTGAAATATTTCGAAGCTCAAAATAAGATGAGAGTGTGTTTGACTGGTTTTATTTTCATGTGGGTCTGTTACTGTATATAGTGTTAAAACCCATTTTGTTCATTCCAGCTAAGAGCTGGAGTAATAGTTACCATTTTAAGCAGATTCATTTCACGTGGATTGAATGCTCTCTGCTTATGTCTCAGAAAGATTGATTTTGATTTCTGGTAGTGTTTACCCCAAAATATGCAGAGGTGCCTGTAGGTAACCAGGCGGATTGATGACAGAAGTGTAAAGAAAAGCAAATTAATATTTGCTCATGTCTTAGAGACTGGGTAAAGAGCTAGAGACTGCAAAGCTGTGTTGGGATTGAGAAACTGGCTATATGTGCTTTGTTGTGGTCATCTATCTTTGGGAGGATACAGTCATCTTGAAAGCTGGCCACATTCCAGCAGTGACTTGAAATTTAGACATGTACTACTTCTGCCCTCTCAATCTTTTTCTTAAATCCGTACAGATGCTGTCAAACAACAGTTTTAGCAGACCAAGTGTGTAAGAGGAATACTGAAAACAGTTACCCATACTATATTATCGTGTGCGACAAGTTGACACACTAAAAATGGGAAGTTCTTCTGTTCAGCTTCTTTCAGTTCACAGCCATAAGCATTGTTCTGACCATAGTCAATAAAACAAATTGAGGATGTTTCATTTTCAAATGTTCTCTTTAATTATGAAGTAGTTTTGGATTTTGTCATTGCCTCATGCTAACGTTTTCCTTTGATGTTTTGAGGAATTAATGCAATTCCTTTATTTGTATGGGGAAATCCCCTCTCATAAGGCACTGATGGCAGGAAACTGTCAACTGCTGAGTCGTTTTTGTCTTCCATGGAGATTGCCAGTTTCATCTTAGATACATTTTATTAAAAAGAGAACTTTGTATGTTAGTGATGTACAACAGAAGGCTTGCAAAAACTTGCAAGTTCTTACTTTTCAGCATATTGCCTAATATCTACAGCTGTACTGCCTATCACATAATTTTTATGCTATTTTATCATTAAAAAATAATTGGCTACTTGCCATTGGATGGATGGATAGATACATCACTGATATATATATGACTGAGATACCCATCACTGAAATATATCACACATACATGTACATATGTAGATAAACATACACGTATGTGTTTTCCTTTCTGTCAGCTAGGAGTAATTTTCTAATCCCTCAGTCCTCTCTTCAATTTTACTAGTCTGTCCCTTTCTAAATGCAGCAATCCAACAGGGATCTCGATTTGATAAGCAACTTCGAATTCGTTTTTCACCATTCATCAGTCAGAAGCAGATCAGGTCAAATGGAAAGGCAACACTGAATCTTCCACAAACATAAACACTTAGGATGGGTGAGTTTTCCACCCAGCCTCTCTGAAGGGAAGAATCTAATATCAGTTACCCTCTACTCTAACATTTATGCAAATCTTCATTATAACAACAAATAGGAGTAAGAATGGCAGCTAATTAACCCTCAGTCATACATAGTGATTAAATGGAGCTGGAGCACAGCTGCAGCTTCATTGGCAAGCACTGCTATTCTTCTCCAGCAGGCTGAGCAAATGAAAAGAGGTATTTGCTCCTGCCGCTCCTGTCATTCACACAGTAATCTACAAAAGCCACGGAGAGACTCTCTTTCCTCCCTGGTTATACATCACCACCCTTTGTTCCCTATCACTCCAGGCAGGAGTGAGTTTGTCCTTTTTAAATAACTAATACAATCCTTTACTCATAAGCTGTCTCAGACCCTTCACTCCTGATTATTATTAATTGTCTCTATTTTGCTTGGCAGTATCAGCCAGTAAACTGTGTTAATGAAATGTCTAAATTTTGTAACAGCTGGCTGACTTTTTTGTAGGGGGAAGGGGTGCTGTAGGGCTTGTGTATGAGTGAACATGTGTGAATTATCTGGGAGTGTGAGAGAGCCAACTGGAATGGTATCAGAGAGATGGGAGAGATGGTGGGATACACTAGCATCCAATCTGGGGATTAGTATTTTTCTTTAAGGTGTTACTCGAGGGCACAGCACACATCCCTTTCTACAAAGCAGGGCTCCAGTCCTGTAAATATTTTGGCATGTGCATGAGGAACCCTATGAAACCTGATAGAAACATTCATCTGCATGAAACCAAGTATGGGAGTGAGTGCTCATGGGCTCTGCTTGAGTGCTGAAAATACTTACTTCCAGTGTTAGCTGATAGGGCTTGCCTATGTGGGTGGTTAGTTATTTCAGAGTAGCTCCATGTGTGGACACTCCCCACTTTGGAAATGCATTAAGTTACGGAAACCTGTCTGTCTTGGAGTAAAAGTCAACCGTACTTTAAGGATGCAAGCAGAGCCTAGGGAGTGTAAATTCCCACACTGCCTTAATCCAAAAGAGCTTTCAAGTGCAGATGGCCCCTCAGGTTTTGTATTTTACTGAGCTTGAAATGCTAAATAGATTAATTATTTTTATATTTAGAGAGCTGGTGATGCTGATCTGGGTTAGAATGCTTATTGTTCTCAGTTGGTCATTACCACCCTGGCCCTGCCAAAGGTTCTCAAGCCCTAGGAAAATGTCATTTGCAAATGCTTCAGGGAAAACAAATGGAAACACTGACAAGACTGCACTGCAACACTTTTCTTTGCATGGCTTCCTTCTTCACACATTCAAAGTCTGAACTTGGCTGGCCTGATTATTCCTGATGTCTGAACAGTCTAATGTTGAATAATGTCTGCTTAGTAACACACTGCTAAACCTTGATTAGGACATCAGAACAAAGCCTGGTACATCTCCCTCACACCAGTCTCTTCCCTTCTGGTGTCATCCTCTGGCTCTGGCTCCTTACCAGTTTTCCCACATGCAAGTTCCACAGTCAGTGGGGATTTTATCCCTCAAATGATGTTCTGAAACTGAATACTTCAGTGCTGCTCCTGGTCCACTTCCCTGTGTGGCAACTGTACCTGTCTCCAAGCTGCTGCAATGGGGATGTGCCAGGGGTGCAGACAGAGGGTAAGAGGGACAGACTGAGATGGGGACAGCCACAATATTGCTTTCCCACAAATGTGTCTAGTTAGACTGAACACTTTGGCAGCTGTAGCCAAAGTAACTGCTGTGGGGCTCTACAGAGCCTCACTGGCTTTGCTCTTTAGAAACCTCTGCCTGATTTCTAACCTGAACTGACTCATGGGAATTTTATATCCACTTGTTTTTAAGCAACTCTCATCCTATAGATTAAGAGAGCATTTTCCTGTTTTTCATTCCCAGTGTACTAATGAAGAATTATCCTCTTTCCTCCTGGTCTTTATTTGCTGCACACTAACCAGACCTGTGTCTATTAACCTCCTTTCATCAGAGAGGCTTTCCATTCCCCTGTTCATCCTCACTGCAGTCATCCTTCCTGAACATGCCTGACTTGCAGAGTTCATCAGGGCATGAGGCACAGCTAGACAAACTAACCCCGCTCATCATCACCGTCATCTGGGTGGAAATATTTACTGCTCCCTGTTGGATGTCCCTATCTCACTGACAGCCCCAGCAAAGGTTATTTCTGTCTTAGCCCTGTCATTTTCACTGTTTGTCTGCTTTTTAACCCAATTTAGTGAAATGGTGGAGAAAGGAAAAGGAAAAAGGTAAAGGAAAAGGAAAGGGGAAAAAAGGAAAAGGAGAAAAAGGAAGGAACAGCAAAAGAAAGAAAAAGCTTTTGCTAGAAAAGTACGTTAACCTGTGGCAAAAGAAAAGCACAAACAACTGTATGCAACATTCACTTCACTGGGGTCAGCACCAGGCAGGTTGGTTTCTCCCTCTGACTCTGCTCTCAGATACTTCAGTGACATATTATATTAGCAGTGTAAAGCTGCTTGTCTCTTGTTACCTTTTAAACCCACCAGAAAGCATGAGGCAGTTTGTTCAGTGTTATATGTAAAGTTTACTGTGAACATAGTTCAAGATTGAAGCATGCGTGTCCTCACGGTAAATGTACTTACAAGAGTAGATGAGTTGGACAAGTAGCACTACATTACTTTGATGTGAGCCCCATCAATTTTTATAGTAGTTGCAGTTGCTCGGCACATCTGAAAAGTAGACTGTTTATGTCAAAAACTCTGCAATGTACATTGTGGTTTTCAAGTACAATTTACTTTGGTTAGAAGTAAATGTG